AGTGAAGATATATGTTTTCATGATAAGCATGGATTGTATCTTATTTGTGAGAGCCTCTTTCAACATCCCTTTAGTTTTTCCGGTCTTTCTATCCTGCCTCAGTTTCTCCTTCTAAGACATGGATCCATTAATCATAAGGGTTGGTGATGGCTGAAACTCCCTTTTTCTGAGGCTTTTTTAAAAAAAGATTTGTGTGTGTGTGTGTGTGCGTGCGTGCGTGCATGTGTGCATGCATGCGTTCGTGTGTGTGTGTGTGCTACTATCATTCAGGTACCCACAGAGTCCAGAAAAGGGAATCAGATCTCTTGTAACTGGAGTCACAGACAGTTGTGAGTCCCTCTATGTGGGTACCAGGAACTTACACCAGTCATCTACAAGAGTAGTAAGCACTTTTAACTACTGAACCATCTGTTCAACCCACCAAGGCATCTTCAGGCTTTACAGAGACATGGATCTGCCAATGCAGGGACTTAAAATACATCTGCCTGATCTAAAGAGACACAGAAAGGCCTGAGCTTAGAGAGTGAATGGTTGTGATAATTACATGAGAATTTGAAAAATATTTTATCAGTGAGATATCAAATCACAGAAGCTGTAAAGCAAATGTTCATGTTTAATCCAAGATTAACATAAAACTGGGACTTTTTTCTACCATGAAGACCTATAGATGATACTTAGGAATCGTCAAAACTGAAGTTAAAACCTGGAAGATTTGACTTGGGTCTAAAAAATCTAGAACTAGTTGTCAGATATACACAAACAGCCCTCTCCCTTAATAATGGCAAGGACCCCACCCCATAAGTTCTCAGATGTATACAGACAGCCCTCTCCCTTGATACTGACAAGGACCTGCCCCATTCCCCAAATTGTCAGGCATACTCACACAGGACTCTCTCTTAATAATGGCAAGGGCATCCCACCCCCCTGCTATCAAAACACCAAGCAATGTTTGCTGTCTCTCCATGAGAAGAGTAGATATGCATACTGAGAAAGTGGGTGTGCATGAGAGTTTTCACATAAAGAATTAAGTTTTGTCTGAGTATTTGGTACGGAAGGGTACAAACTATCTTCAGCATTTTTCAAAGTTGGTATTTTGATTTTATAATCATGAATGCTAAGAAGGTTCCTGAGAGCACCAGCTTCCAAACCGCAGTCCTGTGCTAACCACTAACATTGATTCTCTGTCAAGCCTTGTGTACAACATATCACAATAACTGTCTACATCTCTACTAATGTGGTGCAGGCGGCAAGACCATAGTACCCATTGCACAGGTGGCAAATCTGAGGCATGAAAAGGTGCTTGTCTAATTCCAGGCTTGGAATTGGAAACCATCCTTTCAGATTTTAGAGGTTGTCTTAGTTGGAGATGCTATTGCTGTGCAGACACACCATCACCACAGCAACTCTTTGTGTGTGTGTGTGTGTGTGTGTGTGTTGTGTGTGTTCTTTTTAAATTTATTTATTTTTTATTTTACATGTCAATCCCAGTTCCCTCTCCCTCCCTGCCTCCCTCCCTCCCTCTTACCCTCTCTGACCCCTCACATGAACCCTGACCACCCTCCCCTCCCATCCCCCCCACCCCAATTCCACATGTAGGGCAATGACATCCAGGTGGGGTCATGTAGATCTGTCCAGTCATTTGATGTAGGGACTAGGGCTTCTCTCCTGTCTCTAGGTTAAGGCAGTATCCCTCCATGAGGGATGTGTCTGCAAGGTCCTTTTGTGCACCAGGAATACATCCTGGCTCCACTGTCTCAGGTCCCTTAGACTGCTCAGTCCTTCTAGCTGAGACCCATATTCAGGGGGGCCTGAGTCAGTCCCATTCTGGATTCCCAGCTATCAGTCTAGGGGCCCATTATTTCCTCCTTGTTCAGGTCAGCTGTCTCTGTGTTTCTGCAACCTGGTCTTGTCCTCTCCCTCTGCATCTGGATTCTAGTTAGACTCAGTTTTTAGTTATAGGTGTTTGCTTCTGTTTCCAACAGGTACTAGATGAGGGCTCCATGATGGTGGATAAGTTAGTCATTGATCTCATTATCAGGGAAGGGCATTTATGGTAGCCTTTCCACGGATGCTCAAATTGTTAGTTGGCGGCAGTCTTGTAGGTCTCTAGACCTTTCTTTAGGTTCAGTTTTCTCTTCAAACCAATAATGGCTCCCTCTTTTATGTTTGTTCTCTCTCTCTCTCTCTCTCTCTCTCTCTCTCTCTCTCTCTCTCTCTCCTGTCTTCTATTCCTACCCTGACTCAATCTTCCTAATCGCACATGCTTTCCTCTCCTCCCCTTCTCTTTCTCCTAGTTCTCTCTCCATTCACTGCCCCCCCACTTCCCATATGCTCTGGGGGGGACTTGTCCCTTCCCCTTTCTGAGAGGGACTTTATATGATTCTCCAAGAATACACCTTGTATCCTAGTTCCTCTGGCACCAAAGCAACTCTTATAAAGGAAAACTTTTAATTGGATCTAGCTTACAGTTTTAGAAGTCTATTCCATTATCATCTTGGAAAGAAGCAAGGCAACATGCAGGCAGACACGGTGCTGGAGAAGGAGATGAGAGTTCTACATCTTGATCCACAGGCAGTAGAAGGAAACTGTAACCCTCACTGAGGATATCTTGAGTGTATGGGACCTCAAAGCCCACTCCCACAGTGACACTCTTCCTCCAATATGGCCATACCTACTCCAACAAGGATGTGGCTTTAAGGCATAAAAGGCAAAGAATGGTGAGGCTTGGGGTTACACAATTTGGGCAAGTTCTCCCTATAGCCCTCCAGGGAGCAAATAAAGAGTTTCTGTTGGCTTTAAGAGTTTGTGTTCTTTAAAGGAGTAGCCTAGTGACGTTCTAGAGGCCCCAGCGAGATTCCCAAAGACACTAAGGCCTCAGATCCTCTGGACCAATTGCACCAGGAACTGACAATTCCTAGGGAATATGTACCCTGAGACATTCCGGTGCCCCAGGAACTTCTCTCACCTCTGCTCCAGATGTCTCCATCCTCAATGGGAAACTACAGAAAGTCACCTGGATCTGTCCTTTCTGGAGGTGAGTGTTTAGGGTACCTTCTGCATGGGCAGTTAGGAAAGTCTGAACCCAGCCCTAGTGTCTGGGATCTACATGAGACATCATCAGAGTCCCCTGGTCTAAGTCTGTGTGGTGGCTACCCAAGGTTATCCTTACTATTTGTCGCTCTGTGTTTCCTTCTGTGTGTTTCTGCCACTTCCATTGGTTAGAAAATGGAAAGTGAAATGAGCTATCCTAGGACCACAATAACTGCTACTCATGTGAAAGTACACAACCATCTGTAACTCCTGTTCCAGAAAATCCAATCAGTGCCTTCTCCTGGCTTCTGAAGCCACTGAGGGCATTCATACAGCTCACAGACATGCTTGCAGGCAAAACATCTGCACACATAAAAAAGAAATTTAAAAAGTGAATGATTATGATGATTGGGTTTAACTATCACCTTGACTTAGACCACTTGGAAAGAGTCTCAGTCAGGGTTTGTCCATATTAGGTTGGCCTGTAGGCATGCCTTGTAAGTAATTGATATGGGAGAACCCATTCCACTATGGGTGGTACAATTCCCTGGGCAGGGGGTCCCGAACTGTATGAAAAAAATTAACATCAACAAGTGATGCCGTGTGCATGTTTCTCTCTGCTCTTGACTGTGGATGCTGTGTGACTAGCTGTATCACTTTACTGCTACTGTGACTTCTCCTTAGGGATGGACTGCAGCCTGGAACTGTGAGCTGAAATAAGTCCTTCATCTCCTAAACTATCTTTTTTTGGTTTTTTGTTTTGTTTTGTTGTTGTTGTTGTTGTTGTTTTGTGTGGTGTGTGTGTGTGTGTGTGTATGTATGTGTGTGTGTGTGTGTGTGATTATGTTATCACAGCAACAGCCAGGAAACTGGAGCACTAGTTAAAGGCATTCTCAAGCATTCCTGGTTTTGTAAATAAAGAGCTAAGGTAAGCTGGAGAGACTGCTCAGTGCTTAGGAGTATTTGCTGCTCTTGCAGAGGACCTGGATTCCCTTCCCAGCAGCCATATTAGACTGTAACATCACCTATAACTCCAGCTTCAGAGGGTCTGGCACCCTCTTCCACCCTCTGTGAGCACTGTACTCTTATGAGTATGCATGCGGGCACACACACATGCATGCACACACACACACACCATATGCACAGAAATAGTAAAAATAAGTGTGTCAGAATGGACACAGTGGTCTGTACCATCACAGCCCTCATGGTGGCTTGTCCTTGCTTCACTAGCAGCAGCTCTTCACAATAAAGACCCTTGCTGGTTTATGCCTTTTGATTTCTTGATTACAGGAAACCCCATCTTTCCAAAACTAGCTCAACACCCACCTTACTATTAACCTAAACCCAACAAGCTTGGTCTTGCCCCCTGAGTATCTGATGTGGAATGGATGACCAGGTTCAACTCTCTGAGTGAAGGGACCAGGGTTCTGCATTCTCACTCCATCCTGCACAGTGTTACAAGAGACCTCCTAATCCCAGGCTCTGAACCCCTCTGTCCTCTGTCTCCCTAAAGGTGTGATCATGCAGCAGAGCTTTCTGGTCCTCATCAGTCCTTCTGCATATGCCCTTCTTGGGCCTCCATAGTGACAGGCCTCTGGGGTGACTTTTTTTTTCTTTATTTGCTGTGGGGCTCTGGACAACTGTTGAATAACTGGATGTCATGATGTCGTACCAGACTAAAAGGCTACTGAACGTCTGTATTGGTACAGCCAACACAGGGCACCTCCTGCAAGTACTGCAGAAGCAGTAGCAAGTAGGATTCTGGAATACAGGAATGCTTGTAGAAGGTGCCAGCAAGGCCACAGATTCAGCTTCTCGGAACAAGATGGACCAGGATAAGAGATACTACTGAGTCTGGAGGCAAAGAAGCCCCTATCTCCAAAGCAAAGACCCCCACCTCCACCCAAGATGAGAAGAATGGGTAGTGACTTGAACCACACCTAGCCCCAAACATATGAGGACAGAACATCTAGAAGTCAAACAACAATTTAATAAAGGATATAATGTGGCTGTTATCATTGCCTGGAACCCTGTGACTTCTAACCCACTGAGCAATTAAACTGGAAGGTATGTGAACAGAAAGGGTGTTAACCCCCATGGGACACTGGGTGGGGCAGAGCCCAGGAACCTCAGATTAGCAGCTTCAGAAGAAGGAGACTGCCGAAGACAATGGAGGCGAAGGAAGCTTGGATGGTTGCGCTGTCTGGAGTGGTGACAGTGACGCTGTCCGGAGTGGTGGCAGTGACGCTGCCTGGAGTGGTGCATAGAACTCTCTGGAAAATGAATTCTCCAAATGTCGTGTTCACAGGATTCAGAATTTCACAAACAGACTCGCTGATATCAGAACAGCCTTTCAGCTCCACTCTGGTACGTTCAGTGTCTAAAGACACAAATGTCACAGTCACAACTCTACAACCCTACGGCCCAAGCCCCAGCCCATACAGTTATTTATCTGCAAGCAGTTGAGCAGCATACAAAAGCACCTCTGCTGCTGACAGCCACCCCTTTTTAAGTCTATTTCCACCCCTCCTCCTGCTCCCTTGCTTCCCTCCCCCATCAATACTCTCATCCACTCCTCCCACAGTGTAAGGGCTCCCATGGAGGGGTCAACAAAGCCTGGTGCATTAAGTTACAGTAACCAGACGGCCCTAGATGCTCCAAGTCAACACTTCTCAAGAGGGAGAAGAAACATACATACATATATATCAGTCACACCTATCCACACTTACTGAGCAATGGCAGCCTAGTTCCAAAGAAAGTACTGGAGGATCATGCAGTCAGATAAGCCTGGGGCATAACCACAGGAGGGCAGAAGGAAGGCAACCAGAAGTAGCCCTGAACTAAGAGCAAAAGTAGCAACCAACAAAAGGCTTCCTGGCAGTCTCTGGCCGAAAGACATCCTGAGCTAATCTCTGCTCTGATTCTACCCTTCCAGCCTTTCTGCCCTTCTTAGCTCAGCACTTGGATCAGGGCCTGACATGGGTCAGCTCCAGTCCTGTTAAGGAACTGGAGCCCAGACTTACCATTTACATGCTCAGCAATGATGTGGACACATCGTTCTCCTTCGAAACACTGCCGGGTTTCCTCCTGGCAGGCTTCTGTGCCATTGCCATAGCAAGCAGAGCAATTGATGTTGCTGAGAGTCTGTGATGTGGAGCCTGGGTAAAGAAAAGCCATTACTTAGAATCATGTTATCACACTATCCTAGTGAGGAGGGGATAGGCAGGCAGAGAAGCTGCTGGAGAGTCTGCATCTGGAGAACCTCAGACTAGCCCTAAAGACAATGCTTTGTCCAAAGTTTTCCTATGTACAATCCCTAAAGCCTACCCTTAAGGGGCAGCCAGTCTGCAAGAGTGACAGTTTACAGTGCTCTGGGATAGACATGAGCAAGAAAGGAAAGAATTCAATCTGTAGTCAATGTCAATGACAGCCAGCTGTTTGAAGCATTAGCCAACAGGTGTCTGATTGGCATTAAGACTTGGCCTGAGCAGAAGAACGTGGTCCATTTTCATATTATGATGAAACAAAAAGATAAAACTAAGCATTAAACAATCACATTAAGAAACAGCCCTGCTCCTAATTATCTGTGCTTATGATATTGAACTTCACCATCTCTGCCCACATGTTTTTCTTCATCATAATCAGCAGTTCTCAACCTATTTCCAATGTTCCTAAGAACTGAGCCACTGCTTAACTGCAAAATTACAGTTATGACACAGCAACAAAAATAAATTTATAGTTGTGGGGTCCTCACGCCATCAGAAATAAGTGTTTTCTAGTGGTCACAACCAACAGGTTGAAAACTCAAATTATAGACTAGGAACTCCTGGGTCCCTGAGGCCCTGCAAGGATTCCAAAATGTTAAAACCATTTCTATACAACACCAAGGTATTATATGCTCCTTTTTCTTTATTGCCTTGTGTGTTTGCAGTAGAATTTTCCAGAAGCCCCACATAATGAGTGAGACTGACACAGACTAAATACACAAGCAATAGTGAGATCCCAGCTTCCTTCTAAACCAGAAGCTGAAACACTCTATCAAAATATGTGTTTGGGGGTTTTGCTACAGAGATGGATGTCTCAGCAATTAAGAGCATGAGCTCTTTTCCCAGGTTCAGTCCCCAGCCACCATGTGGCAGATCACAACCCTCTATAACTCCAGCTCCAGAGAATCTGATGTCATCTTCTGGCTTCTGTGGACATTGCACATGAATGGTACACATACATGCAAGCTCTCAGACATAAAATAAAAATAAATAAATATTTAATATACATATATGCACATATATGGAACATTGATCTTATTAAGTGTTTTTGAAAGTTATTTCTATGTAAAACTTTATTACTATTAATATGTACAACTTTTTTCATTTTTGACTTTGCTTTAGACAGGGTCTCACTATATAGCCCAGACTGGCCTTCAACTAATAGAGATCCACCTATCTCTTCCTCTACCTCAAAAGTGCTGGGATTAAATGTATGTACCACCCATGCCTGGCCAAATATTTTTATTTTGAGTAAATTAATTAAAATTTGTGAATTTGCTTCACTTTTATTTCTAAACTGGTAAATGTTAGCAGGTAGAGACCATATAAACAAAAGACTTATTACTGACACTTAGAATGTCTCCAGGTGTGGTGGTGCACACCTATAATCCTAGCAGTCATGAGACAGAGGCAGGAAGACTGAGTGAAGGCATCCTTGGCTCCATAGCAAGTTTGAGATGAGCCTAGACTGCAGGAGATATTGTCTACACAAATATTGCCACACAAATGAAATCCCCATCTTCACTGAAGAAGGGGAAAGCATGATATTTGGGCTGGCTGGGCATCTCCCACATTTCTAATGTGATTGCTGTCAGTCAGACACTAACATCGTCTAGCCATATGCTGAAGTGCCTGGACTTGAGACATCCACCCCACCCCCCCAGCCAAGCACAGAAGACAGAAAACCAAGCCTGGAACATGGAGGGTAACACAGGGCAGGCTGCTGGGCCCAGTACAAACCAGGGTTGGTGTCGTTGCATGATTCTCCTTGACAGCACTGGCTTGCAAAATGGAAGCTTTGGTCATCAAACACATGCACTGTGAAGGCCACTTGGGTGGTTTCATTCTTGGTGCAATTAGTTTTTGAGCAGAACTTGTTCTGGTATGAATACAAGGACCCTCCTACATCAAGGCAAACACAGACTGTTAGTGCCTGGAGAGGCTCCAGGGAGAGCAGCATCCCAAGGAAATAGTGCTTCAGACAGAGCCAGTTGACTTGAACCTCTCCTAAGCACATCTTGGGAGACACTGGAGGTTGCTTAAAATTCAAAGAACTCAGTGGGGTGTAGTGGTGCATGCCTTTAATCCCACCACTTGGGACATAAAGGCAGGTGGATTCTTGTGAGTTCAAAGCCAGCCTAATTTACACAGTAAGTTCCAGGACAGTCAGGGCTACCTTGTCTGGGGTGGGAGGTGGAGAGGAGAGCAAAAAGAAAACCCTTTCCCATCATAGGGAACTCTTTCCTTCATCAGATTAGCAGAGGGATGGGTTAAACTCTACCATTAGCTTGTGTGCCTCATGTGGTCATGTGCAACCATGAGAGATATAAATGAGACCCAGCACAGTGTCGTAAATGTATTTAACACTTTAGAAGTCTTCAGGATTTTTCTTTTTAACTATATCTCTTAAACACATGAACTTTGTGAGTGACAATGTTGTATCATGATGTCAAAAGGTTAAGTACAAATACTAGTCAGGAGGGACACTAGAAAATGGTTGTTTAGTTTAACATATACAGCCCTCCCAGGCCACTAATTTATCTTAACATCTGGTACTGTGATATGACGTCACAGTACCAGAAACTCCATGAGAATCCAGTCAGAGCTACCCAGTATGGAGGCATCAGCTGTATGTGGCTGTTACATTAAATGTGATTTAGTCAAAATAAATTAAGGGACTGGGAATATGGGTCTATAGAGTACTTGTCTGGCACATACAAAGCCCTAGATGTAATGCCTTGCACCACACCAAAAAAAAAAAATTAAGTAAATTTAGCTGGCCAATATTGGCATAAAATTGTAATCCCAGCATTCAAAAGGCAGAGATCAACAGCGGCTTTCTCAATGACTCTCGTCTTTTTGTTTTTGTTTTGTTTTGATAAAGGGTCTTGGGCTAGCTGGCCTGGACCTCACCAGTTTTAGACTGGCAAGCTTCAGGAATCATCTTGTCTGGGCTGCCCTGTACTGAGATTACAGGCCTGCACTGTCATGCCCAGCATTTTCACAAAGGTGCTGAGGGACAAGCTCAGGTCCTCCTGTTTGTGTGGCAAGCACTTTATTGGTTGATCTATCTCCTAAGCCCTCCTTGATGGCCAAGGCCAGGGTTTAGATGTCAGTTTGTTGTCCTTGCTGCTTTTGTGTGTGGAAGAATTCTGAGTGCCCCGAGAGGTTCCTAACAGTCAGAATGCCTGGGAAGGAGTTCACCAAGGAAATATTTTTCATCTAGAAGAGAAAGAAGTCAGGAGACTGAGAAAATAGAGGGCTGGATAAACACAAGTCCCAGGCAAAACCCCTGCCTCTTATTTAGCTCTGAGTTGCTCTTGTTGTATATGTCTATAAACAAATGTATCTACAGTGGAAGTCGGATCAGTGATATTGATTTCCAAGACACGGCAGGGCTTATCTGCATGTTTGATTCTGTGCCTGTGTTGCCATGCAGCTCCTGCTCACCTCAGCCGTGAGCAGGGGAGTCTTCACAACCCACTACTCGCCCCAACTCATGTGTCCTTCATGTGCCCATCCTCTTCCATCTCCCACGAGTACCAGAGATGGAGGCAGCCCCACTCACCTAGAGTGGAGTTGATTGAGGACTCCACACAACTGAAGGAATCTGGGCCACAATCTGTAGCTGAGGCTTCACAGGTACTATTGAATACATGACATTGTCTACACTGCAGGGAGTCTGAGGGGAGAGAGTCACAGAAGTCAACAACCAGTACACATTCACAGAGCACCACACCCAGCACAGGGAGAAAGATCCAGATGGGATGCCCAACAGCCCTCTGAAGATCCCCAAAACGGATGCTATGAGATGGAGTGATGCCCGTTAGTTTCTCCACATTGTTCTCCATTCCCCAACAGGAAGAGCCAACCCTGACCAGCAGCAGAGTGGTCTTTCTGAAGGCAGAGAGGACACACAGGTCTCACACAACACAACTGGCCAGGTGGTGGGTACCAGGATGCCAAGAGCAAGGATGTTCTGATGGGGTAGAAAAGAAGACTTTATGCAGAAGGGGGCTTCTCTCACCTATAACTGTGATGGCAAATGCTGCAAAGACACCAGCGATGAGGATGCCTTTCATGCTGCTGGGGCTGGCTTCTCCCAAAGATGGGAACGCGGAGCCTCAAACCTGGGAAGGCACAAAGAGGGCAGCCTGTGATCTTGGAGGGATGTTGGCCTTAAAATTGTCTTAAAGCCACCGCAACAAGCTTACCACTGGGGCTGTCCTTGTCTCTGGGGGAAAAAAAATCAGGCCTGTCCTGACACAAGGTTGAGTTTCGGTTGCAAATGGACAGAGAGACCAATTTTCAGGACTTCTGGGGCCGAGATATGTGTCTGTCAGACTTTTGTCATTATGATAAAATTCCTGAGATAATCAATTTATAAGGGAAAAAGATTTGTTGTGGCTCATGGCTTCAGAGGTGTCAGTCATTTTGACCCATCACATGGGACTTTGCAGAAGCTAATAACCAAAGAGGTCTGTTCACCAAATAGCAGCCAGAGAGTGACAAGGATAGAACAGAGTATCCCAATGTCTTTCTCAATTAGCTAACTTCCTTCTCCCAGGCCACCCTACTAAAACTCCAGCATCTCACTATAGAGCCGCAGGCTGATGAACAGGCCATGGGCTTTTGTGGCATTTTTGAGATTGACGACTACCTTATACGCCATTCTAGAGCCTTCATCTAGTAGCTGATGGAAGCAGAAGCAGATACCCACAGCTAAACACTAGCCAAACTCCTGGAATGCAGTTACAGAGAGAGAGGAGTGATGAGCAAAGGAGACTAGACCAGGCTGCAGAAACCCACAGAAACTGCTGACCTGAACCAGTCTGACCAGACCCCAGTCTGATAGCTGGGAAACCAGCATAGGACCCACTCAGACCCCCTGTGGGTTAGGAGGACTGGGCAGTCTATGGGGCCTCTAGTAATGGATCAGTATTTATTCCTAGTATATGAATGGACTTTGGGAGCCCATCCCACACAGAGGGATACTTTTTCTGCCTAGACACATGGGAGAGGGCCTAGACCCTGCTCCAAATGATATGACAGACTTTGAAGACTCCCCATGGAAGGCTTCACCCTCCCTGGGGAGCAGAAAGGTGATGGGCTGGGGTTTGGTGGGGGAGGATGGGAGGGAGGATGAGAGAATTGGGATTGACATGTAAAACAACCTTGTTTCAAATTTAAATTAAAGGGGGGGGGGGAGAACTGAAGAAAACCCCTAACAAGGTTCCAGATAAAAAGAACGGCCTGGGTTTTGTGTCCTCCTCTCCTCCCTTAGGTTCTGTGGTCCCATTTCCCCTGCTGCAGGGTCTGTGTCTCTCCCTCTCCCCACCCACCACTCCAGAGTACAATGTCTATTCTCACAGCAGAGGTCTCCCACCTTCGCTTTGATGCACCGGAGCTTTGCTACCACCACCTATGCAGACACCTGTGAGCCCTTGTTCTGCTCCAAGCCCTTTATATACACTAATTTGAGTAATTTGTCCACCTTAGCAACCAGGTACTATTCTTAGTATCTGGACAAAATTGAGGCCTAGAAGAGGAAATTGATGGACTCAAAACCAAGATCTTGCTCCTGAGAAGTGTCAGAGCTGGGGTATGAGGCAGACCCCTCTCTCCCACTCCAGTCTGCTATCCAACACATGTGACACACCTTAGAAGCCAGAGCCTGAACACACAGAAACTCCTGAGGCAGATTAAAGTGACACCAATTTCTCAGTGCCCGGCATCCCTTACCTGCAAGTCATCTGAATTAGATCTTTGGGGCTTGCTAGGTTTTTGCCACATTTGTTAGGATCCTAAGTCTCAGCTCAAGAAATTTCTCTTTGCCTGAGAAGCAATACAGCACAAGAAGCAAACATTTGCACAGAGCCCTCCTTGATCATAATCTTATTGACCCTGTAAATAGCAGCCATAGCCAAATGTGGCTTCTTAGGTTAGCTGACTCAAGGTAGGTACAGGAACATTCATCCCTCAGTACAGGAACCACTGTTTCAATGGTCAGCAGCTGCAGGTGTTCAGCAGTTGTCTCTAACCATGGCAGGCAGAACACCTGCATCCCAAGGAGCCCCAGTGAACAGTGCTGCCTCAAGACAGGCCCCTGTCTCCACCCCACAGACATGCAACCTCTGGCAGAAGCAGAAGCAGAAGCAGCCAGGCTCACCTATGGGCCCAAAGCAGGACACACTCCAGGTGTTTCTTGCTCTCAAGCTTAGCTGCCCCCTGACAGCTGCCACAGACTGAAGCAGAGCTGACCTTTTCTCAGGGAGAACATCTCTCTTACCTGCTCCATCCCGTACCACAGACCAAATACACATCCCGCCACATAGAACACACAGCAGCATGGCCTTCTAGTTGACTTACTAGGGACATAGTCAAGGATGCCCTTTAACTTCTAATCCTCCTGCCTCTGCCTCCTGAGTGCTGGGATGACAGACCTGTGCCATGATACCCAGGCTATGCGACACAAGGAATCGAGCCCAGCACTTTCTGCTTCTTAGGGAAGCACTCTACCAACTGAGTTACCTCTCCCGTCCCCTCCCTGACTTGTAACAATCTATTATTAAATCTTTGTGCGGTCTAGCAGCATGCTTCCACAATTGCTGATATCTGCCAGGGTAGCCAGGGTTCAGAGACACAGTGCACACTGACAACAAAATGACAAGCAAACACATCCCTCGCCTCAGCTTCTATTCCAGCCTGCACATCCTGAGCAGCACTGGCAGAAAAGAACCCCAAGAACATTCTGAAAGCTAGCCAGAGCAGGCCTGTTTCCCCCAGCACCACTGTCCCTGCAGAGTGCATCTTCTGCTAGCATCAAGCTCCAGCCTGAGCATGCCCTCACCTTCTGGGTCCAGTCAGGGACACTATCCTGAGGAAGGAGGATCTGGAAATGTGTTGGAGTGGGTGTGGGGATTGACCTTATATAGCAGATGGCTGTATGGTCCAAAAGCCCAGTTGCCTTCTGGGGAGGAGCCTCTTTGTTATACAAGCCCGGGCTTAGGGCTATTAGATGGTTCCCTGCCCAACCATAGTGATCTGGCTACTTAACCCTTGGCCCCTGTGTGTAGGTGGTGTTCCCTCTGAGACCTGCAGGAATTGGAAGTACTTGCCCTTCCCACAGTGTATGAGGGAACACAGTGTGTTCCTGGCATCTTCCAGAGTGCGCCATAGTGCACCGACTCACTGCCATGGCCTGGAAATAGCATTCCATAATAGCAGCTTGACAAACCAGTCCACTCCTAGTTCCAAAAATCCCTATTTATAGATGAGGACCCCAGCTTGCCCATGGCAGGTCACTGGGCAGAGCCAGATAGATCACAGGAGGACCACACCACTAAGAAAAGAGGCTCAAGCCTCTCTGGCAAATGACTTAACCTGGAGAAGTTTCAGAGTCTTCCAGCCAAGATAAAGCAAAAGCCATTGCACAGCTACATGGGATAATGGGTGGACCACGACAGAAAACCTGCTCACACAGGGTCAAGGCCCCCAGCAGGATTACTGCCTTGTCTGACAGCCAGGACAGTTTCCTGTGGTCAATCTGGGCAGACAGCATTAACTAGAGTCTAGGTCAGGTACACTGAGACGCCCTCCCACCCCTCATGTGATACTGTGGCTCTCCTCATCTTCCTGCTGTTGTCCAACACACACACACACACACACACACACACACACACACACACACACACACGCACACACACGCACGCACGCACGCACGCACGCGCGCACGCGCGCGCACACACACACGTCCCTAGACACTCCTGGAGCACCCTCCATATGTCAAGCTGACTCTAGCCATTTGGGAGGGCCTGTGACTTTTACTCTCCTGAAGTGTTCTCTAGAGAGAAAGACAGAGCATAAATAAATATAAGCAAAACAGACAAAAAAGATCAGGGTCAATGCTGCAACCAAATGTGGTGCTGGACTGAGTTTTAAGTAGAAACATCCGAATGATCTAGTAGAGAAGGCACAACCTGAGTATCTAAGCAGATACTCTGGTCAGTTCTTATTCTCTCTGCCCCATCCTCCCTCACCCATCTAGCAGGGTGTAGGATCAGGTGGAGGATACAGGAGAATGAGCACTGATAGGGGTGGATGAGGAGTGCCCCAGATGCACATGCAGGATTTGAAATGCCTTTGAATTTGTTTGACAGCCTAGGAAGCTCATCCGGTGTCAGAATGAAGATGAGCATAGGAAAACTAGACTAACCAAAGCTAAGTCTCCTCAAGAGGCTGATTCCCAGGCCATAGAGACAAAAGCAACCAAAAGACATGGGCTGAATCCAGACTTTGCACCTCATGTCTCATAAGTTATTTATTAACCTGTTCACCACCCAAGTTACCTGTGTGAAATCCCAATTATAGCCCTGATAAAATAGCTGCTGTTTATTTGCTCCTGAAGTCCTCATGTCATTCCACCATGGTTTCCAAGGCCGTCTATCAGGAAATTGGGGGGAGGGGGAGGGTTTGAGCCTTTGGAGTGACACAGATGATCTCAATCATACCCCTTCATTGGTATCAACACTGAAGGCAACGGTAAGCCTTGGATTAGGATGGGCACCTGTATGACCACTCATCACAGCCCTGGGTTTAGTGCCCCTGAGGTCCTAAATAATATGAATGGGAATCACATTTTGTTTAACAAATGAGAAAACTGAGGCCCAAAGAGGTGCTTCTTCTAAACCTTCAGTCAGCCAGCTTTCCCTGCATCCCAGCATAGCTTAGGGAGCACTGAGCCTCACTCTTTCTACCCAAAGGGTTGGAAACACTGATCCTAAGGGTAACATCTCTGTCATCAGTCACCAGAAGTTATGGGAAGCCACCTTCCTAAAGCAGACCCTCAGGCTAACTAGCTAAGAAGCCCAAAGGCCCAAGAGAAGCCAGACCCAGTGATCAACCCAACTTTCACTCGAGCCAAGAATCCCCTAGAGTGGCTTACACATGCTGGTTCCATCATATCTGGAAAAGAGGATGAGGTCACCCATCCTTATGCCAGGTTCAGCTGAGGAGAGTCTAACTGGGTCTCAGAAAGCCATACCAGCATGTAAGCCTAGAGCAACTGTGGAAGTGGTTCCCTCCCAGGGTTTCTCTCAGCCTCCAGCATGGATGTGAGCCCCCCCCCCAAAGAGTCCAGTTGCTGTAAAGTGTACAAAGAAATCAGGGAAGAACTAGGCATGAGTTCAGCAGAAGAGTCCATCAAGAATGACCACCCATGTCCCACTTGCTCTCTGTCTGCTTCTGGGAGCTATCATGACTACCTTATTCCTACAGCTGTTATATTAGAATGGGCAAAAGAAATCATCAAAATCACTGCCCTCAATGTTCCCGCCCCCAACCTAGTCACTTTGCAGAGGACCCAGGCATGTCCTGAAACATAAGCTTCACCCATGGTCCATGCTCCTCTTTGAGATAAATAGTCTCAACGTCTGTTCATATCTTCTGAATGGGAAAGACATCATCGCTCACTTCCTATGTTATTCAAAGAATTAAAGGAGAGTGTAGGAACAGGAGGAAATGCTCAGAGGTTAAGAACACTGGATGCTCTTGCAGAGGACCCCAGTTCAGTTCCCAGCACCCTCAGGTGGCTCACGACCTTCTATATCCAGCTCTGGTAGATCCAGTGCTGTCCTCTGGCATCCAAGCACATCCCATGTGTGTGATGCACTAATACTTATCCATACAAAAAAAATATTATTTAAGCTGGATGGTGGTGGCACACATCTTTAATCCCAGCACTCAGGAGGCAGAGGTAGACATATCTCTGAGTTTGAGGCCAGCCTGGTCTACAGAGTAAGTTCCAGAACAGCCAGGGATACACAGAGAAAGCCTATCTCAAAAAAATTAAGTAAATCTTTTTTAAAAAGAGAGAGAGAGATTATGGGGAAGACATTTGGCATGCATACATACAGGTCATAGGGCCACAGGAGCAATGGCTAGCTCTGTAGCCATGATCTCACACCTGAGACACCCCATCCTCAGCCTAAAGGGACACACAAGAACACACAGCATAGTGACCTGGGTGAAACCCAGACTCGGAGTACACCCTGCCGTCTACCAGCAAAGTGAGCTTAGAATATTACATACCATCCGAATCTCTGGTTCTTCACCTGAGCAAAAAACAGAAGTTGCAATATCTGACTGGTTGTAAAGATCAAGAGGTTTGGGAGTTATCATTTCTGTAAGCTGTGCCAAGTTGTTCACTTAATGTTTTGTGATTTGCATCAACCCTTCAAACAAAGTAAAGTAGTATCAAAAGCAAAAAAAAACAACAAACAAACAAAAAATTAAGAGATAAGTATATAAAGATCTTTGCCCAATATACAGAAGACTATAAGACTGGCCCAAGGGAATTTTTACAGTGTTGTCAGTGACTTGGGAAAACCCACCAACAAGGCCCTTTCTGGTGAGCATGTGTCTAGGAGCAAATCAGCTAACCATTGAGGAAAGTTTCAGTATAATCATTTCTGCAAAACCTGTGAACAAGACTGGACTGATGGCTCAGCTGTTACGAGCACACACTGTTCTTTCAAAAGACCCAGATCCCAGCACCCATGTTAGGCTAACTCACAGACAGCTCCAGCCCCAAGGGATTTGACAGCCTCTTCTGGCCTCTTTGTGTGCCTGCACACATAACACACACACATACACACACACACACACACACACACACACACACACACAAGTTCTCATTTAAAAGGTGACAGTCCCCTCCTTCCTTGCTCTTTCTCTAACCATTGACCTTTATTCCCCACCTCCACACATCCTCACCACTAAGTTTTAAATTTACTCATTTATTCAACAAGGCATTAACAGAAAGGTGAAGAAAACAAGTCAATTCCCTGCCCACCCTAGCCTTTTAAAAAAATGTAATGAAAGCAACTACAAGCAGACAGACGTGTTCAGATCAATGCATAGTGTTGTCACAGAATTAAAATGGAAGAAACACAAGAAATAGCATGGCTGACCCCGCAGACACACAGAATTCCAGCAAGACCCTTCTGAAAACTGAGAAGAAGCAAGGCGGGGAATTAGAAAGGCAAAATGGCCCCAAAAGTCTCGTTGACTTTGGAACAATGTGACTTGCTTAAGGAACTGAACCAAGTTTACTACAGGATTACCAATTCACTAAAGAAATCAGTGTATGGAGAATTTACAGGTCTGCACTCACACCCTCCTCCTGAGCTCATTTTAATATTCTCTCTTTGTTCCCTTTATAATCAGTTTAGATTATGGGCAAAGAGTACCTGAGCTGCTTGCAACACACTAGAGCAATTTATGGTCTGTGAGTCAATGTTTCTTCCAAGGCTATAATTTCCTTCTCCATAAAATGGTGTGTTTCAGAATTGGTGTCTTTACACACCAATAATAAGCATACACAGGAGAAAATGTAAGAAATTACATCCACATACCCACCAAAACACACAACAATAAGGTGCCTAAGGAGTGAGTAAAGAACTCTGTGGTAGTTGATACTGGCTGTCAACTTGACAGACTCTAGAATCACCTAATAGGCAGACCTCTAGTCATGTCAGTGAGGGGGTCAATTAAGGTGGGAAAGTCAACCCTAAATGTGGATGGCACCATTCCATGGGCTGGAGTCTTCCAGGAACAAAAGGAGGAAGAGAACTGAAGATCGGAATTCCTCTCTCATTCTCTCTCTCTCTCTCTCTCTCTCTCTCTCTCTCCCTCTCTCTCTCTCTCTCTCTCTGCTTCCAGACTGCTCCTGCTGATGTTTGAAGCATTCCCTCTACATTTTCTTCTATAAGTTTCATGTTTTAGCACCCATTTTCTTCTGGGACATTTCAAGCACCTGCCAACATGACTGTCCTATTATAATGGACTACACCCTTGAACAATGAGCCAAAAAAGAGCCTTTATTTCTTACTCGGCTTGCTGGGTATTTTCTCAAAGCAGTGAAGAAAGTAACTGATACAGCCTCCTATAACAGAATAATGAAATACTGATGAAAGAAAGCACAAGCAATGGGTGATCATGAATTGGAGGAACCGATACTGGTATAATGTCATTATTCAAAACAACTTCACATTCATTACAAAATGCAATCCCCATAAAAATACCAATTAGACTTCTCAGAGCTAGAGAAGATAATACATTCATATAAAGGCATAACAGACTTCAAATAGCCAAATCAGTATTGAGCAGAAACAAGGTCTGGAAGAATCACAGCATTTGATTTTAAAACATAGACCAAAGCTATAAAAACAAAAACACTACTAGCATAAGCTCAACACACAGATAAGTAGAATACAATTGAAAACATAGAAATAACCCATGCATCAACCCCCTCACAACTGATCTTCAATACAACTCCCAGAATATGTATTGGGGAAAATATGATCTCTTTAATAAGTAATAATAGGAAAACTGGATATCCATAAGAACAGTGGAAGTAGAGCCTTGTCTCCACTCAACTCAAAGCTACACTGGTAGCTACAGGGTGTTGTAAAAGGCAACTTTTTACTGCATTTATTTACCGTGTGTGTGTGTGTGTGTGTGTGTGTGTGTGTGTGTGTGTGTGTGTGTGTGTAGGTAGGTAGAAGGACAATGGTCGGTTCTCTTCTTCTATCATGTGGGTTCCAGGAATGAAACCCAAGAAGCAAGAACCTTTACCTGCAGAACCATCTCACCTACCCAAGGCAATGACAAATTTCAAAAGCACAGGAAACAAAAGCAAAAAATTGACAAATTGGATCCTTTCTTTGGCTCATCAGCATGAATCTTGAATGTTCACACCATTGAGTGGCATGTGTCTCCCACAAACCTTGTTACCACATCAAAGCCATACCAGTCTGATGTAGAAAAGAGGATAAAGAAAGAAAGAAAAGAAAAGAAATAAAGACAAAGGAAAATAACAAAAAAAATTAAAAGTGACTAATGGAACTATTTCAAACTGGAAAGTGTCTGGTCAGCAAAGAAAACAAAGAATGAGAAGACAGTTTCCACAATGGGAAAGATGTGCAATTTGTTCTTCTGAGAAAGAACTGGTATCCAGAATACACAAGGACTAAAATATTCAACTGCTGAAAAAGTAGTCCAGCCAAATGACCTGAATACACATTTCATAAAAATGCTATCTAAACAGCCATGAAGTACTATTTATAAAATACTATGGACATCACCAACCAAAGAAATGCAAATTAAAACTACAATGAAACATTGTCTCAGCCCAGCTGGCATGGAATGAAAAAGACAACAATGCTGATAACAAATAACAAAAGGTATAAATAGTAAATAAACAAATAATGAGACAAATAACAAATGCTGCCCACCATGAGGAGAACAGAAAACTCATACATGAATACAGTTAGTATGGAAAACTGCATGGAGGCTCCCCAGAAAACTAGAAATAAAACTGCCATGTAACCCAGCTGTCTTGCCCCTAGGTACATCTGCCAAGGGAACAAAATGTCAGGTCATTCATACTGCCGCACTGCTCAGACAGGATACAGAGTCCCCAGCAGTGGTCACTCACTCATTGATGAATGGATTAGGAAAAAATAGTGGATATACACAGTGGAATGATAGCCATGGAAAAGAATGAAATTCTGGCATTTGTGGCAACCTAGATGGAGGGCATTGTATTAAATAAAAAAGCACTGCATGTTCTCATTCATGTCTGGGAGCTTACCAAATTAGTTTCATAGAAATAAAGAGTAGCACAAGGCCATGCTGATATCAGTGATCAGTGCTGGCAATGGGGACCATGTCAAGGTTCGTGGTCCATCCTGCATCCAGATACCATGTCAATGTCTGTGGTCTGTGCTACTACTGGAAACCATGTGGAAGTCCACCATCTGTGCTGCTGCTGGCTGTCATGGGCAAGGAAGCTTCTTTTACAGTGGGACCAATGACTGCAGACGCATAGTTGAGAATGAGAGACATTAAAGACATCTGTGCCAACCTCTCCCCACCCCATCTCTCCCCCCAAAAAAGAAACAGTCTAGACAGGATTCATTGTAAAGAGTCTGTGAAATCATAATGGGGATGCTAAGTGTAGCTCTTCAGTTGATGGCTTCTGATGACAGGGGGATTGGAGGACTCACTTGTCTTTAAGGGGCTGGCCACTTGGACTTTGACCATGCTCCAATAAGTATATGTGCAACCAGCAATACAAACTGTACTTGGTAAATTCTTTTTCTTTTGTGTGGGGGGAGGCAAAAGGATGGGAGTATGAACCTGGGAGGAATGGAGAGCAAGCATGATCAGGGTACAAAGTTTCCAAAAACGTTAGGTTGGGAATAAATAAATAAATACTGGCTATTTAGGGAAAAAATAAAGGAAATACAGAGTAGAGAGTGGGTTAGTGAGGCTACAAAGAGGACAAAGGAGGTGAAATTAGAAGTCAGTTTGTAGCTACAAAACCCAGTTAGGCATAGAATCAGCCTTGGAGCAAGGCACCATTTGGGAATAGTGGCGTTCACCATTATTGAATATCCTAAAATAGTTAAACAAATAGGCTTTGAAGGTTCCCAAAACAAAGAAATTATCAGAGCTGAAGAGATAACTTCTGTGGTTAAGAGCACTGCTGTTCTTCCAGAGGACCTGGGATCAGTTCCCAGCAGCGTCAGGAAACTCACAACCAAGCACTTATAACTAACTCCATCTCCAGGACATCTGACCACAATCTTCTGGCCTCTGAGACACACACATCAGACAGATACACACAAATGCATAAATTCAATAGCAATAGTGAAATAAATAATAAATGTTGGAGTTGATGGGCATAATAATTGTCTTCCATTCAATTGCTACACTTCATATTCACACAGCAAAATCTCAATTTGTACCAATAAATATGTATAGCTGTTGTGTGTCAAATCACAATAATAAAGTGGAACAAGAAAGTGTATCTATCTGAGAGAAAATGTGTAGCATCTTATCACCCCTTATTAGTGAAGTAGATTGGAAGATAACCAATTGGCCACAGACTCCACCAAAACTAACCAATGGAACATGTGAGCCAGGCCCAGGACCCTAACATCCTTTCATGGTGTGTCAAGAACAATCTTCCCAGGTGAGGAACTCCCCACTGCCAAGTACTGGCCTGCATCCAAATGCACTCTAACTCTCTCTCCCACCCTCCAGACCCAGAAGCCACAGACAGAGGACAGAGAACAGATGACAGCCTGCATTGGCAACTGACCATGCTCTAGAGTCAAAGCATCAGAAACTCCAGAAGGAAGAGAAGGGTGAAGTTCTGGGTTCCCTAGGGTGACATATGGGTTCCCAGGGAAGTGAGAAGAAGGGAGAGAGGAATGAAGGCTCCATGGAACAAGGCAGAGGCAAGAATCTGGGAATGAGCAAGGAGAGACAGAGAGTGAGAAGAAAGGAGGGTGGCTCTGAGCCCTCCCCTCTCCTCTCACCATTCCCATGCCACTTAGAATGGGAGCCACATGAGTGCCACATCAGAGGCAGATGCACAGCCTGGTCTGTCTCAGAGCAAGACCCAGCCTCCAGCCTCTCTGAAGGTGATGAGCACTGGTGCTACCAGTTTTATTAGTCTAGTTTTAGGTATGTTATTCCAACAGAGCCAGCAGCTCCTCTCACATTTCAATCTTTTGTTCATCTCTCTTCTGAATCAAAAAAAAAAAAAAAATTGGACACTGGATTTGGATATTGGCTTTGTGTAAACCATACATGTATGACACTAGCATACAAGGCCTTTCAAAGTTATTTAGTGAGTTTAAAGGTCCTTGAAATGTTCACAGAGAAAGGACACAGGTAAGATAAATAGGTAGATAGACAGACAGACAGATGATAGGTAGGTAGATACATTGATAGATACATAGGTAATACATAGATAAACAGCTCAATAATGTTTGATTTAATCTTCTCCAGTAGCATTTGTTTTCCTACAAACAACATAACTTCATTTTTCCTTATGGCTGGAAAGGCTTAAAATGTATGCATGATCCATGTTTTCTTTACCCATTCCTCTGCTCTGGACAGCTAGGTTGGTTCTGTAACAAAGCTGTTGTGAATAGTGCTATGGTGTGCATGTACTGTGGCATTGACAGCGTCCTTAGGGTAGATACTCAGCAATGCTTAGATAAGTCATATATATCTACTAGTTTTATGATGAGCCTCCAAACTGATTTCCATACTAATCGAATTAAGTCTGTCTCAAAAAAAAGATGAGTATCACATATCTCTCATTTATGGACCCTAGATTTTACATAGATACATAAAATCATGTGTGTACACATCACATCAAAGAGGAAAGGAGATTGTCTAGGGAACAGAGGGGAACTAAGGAAGGGAGAGAAACAAGAGCAAAGGGTAGTGCTAAGAGTGTTGTATGCTCAAAGTACTTCATATACTTTTGTGAAAGAATCTGTTGACTAATCACAGTTGTCAATTTGACTGGATCTGGAATCAACTAAAATTCAAGCTACTGAACACTCCTGTGGGGGATTTTCTTGATCTGATTATTTCAAGCAGGAAAACCACACTAAATCAGGGCTTCTGGAACAGCCCAGATTAAAAGACATGGAAGCTTTGCTTTTTGCCTGCTTTCCTCGCTCATGCTGGCAAGTTCATCTATCCTGTTGCTGCTGCATTCTTCCACCAATAGAAGAACTATTCTGTTCAGCTCCAAAGTAGACTGAAGCCCAGTGGCTCTCCAGGAAACCCCCAGCTTCAATGTCAGATGGGGAGTGTGGAGACATCCAGCCTTGTGGATCCAGCAATTGCTGGTTCTCAGCCTCTCCAAAATGAGATAGCCATTACTAGACTACCTGGGCCACACTGTGTAGCCAATCTAACAAATTCTCTTTTAATATGTATGTATTAATTCTATCAAGTTTCTTCTTATAGATAACTGTGATTAACACACCTTATATAAGACAGTATAATAAAATCAAACAAAACATTCAATTTCCAAATGAAGCCAATATTTTAGAAGGTGGATTCCTTTTCTGAAGCAGCAATCTTAGGAATCAACACACAGACACCCTCTGAACTGCTGAAAACCATTTTGACAACCAGCCAAGCAATACTGCAATGAACAAGTATTTATTCAGGGTTAGAGAGATGGCTCAGTGATTAGGAACACATACTGCTCTTGCACAGGACCAGGATTCAGTTCCCAGCACCCACAACTGTCCTTAACTCCAGTTCCAAAGGGATCTGACAACTTCTTTTGACTGTCACAGGCTCCTGCACACAGATGAGCCACAACATACATACAAGCATACATGCATACACAATAAATCAACTGATTTTTAAAAAATATTTATTCCACTTTCCGGGGCCCTGTTCGGAGCCTCCTGAGGACTGATGACTGGGGATTGTGTGCGGGGGGAGCCCATCCTGGAGGACCAGCCCATCCAGTGTCTGCTTGCGTTCTAGTCCCACCTCCACCCACAGGAACCGGTAAGCGTGGGCCTGCTTCTGGCCCACCTTCTGGGGCCCTGCTTGGAGCCTCCTGAGGCCTCGGGACTACACATACACAGAGGAACCCATCCAGATGGACCAGCCCATCCAGAGTCTGCCAGCACCCTAGTCCTGCCACTACCCACTGAAAAAGGAGAGCCATCAGAGTATTTGACCTGCTTGAACCCACCGGAAGAGAACCTTGGTCCTATACCCACCAGGAGAGGGAGAGACCCCACAGTTACGCACTGGAAGAAAGGATGGGTAGATGACAGTATAAGAACACAGTTAACGGGGGGGGGGGACGCGGCGGGGTCGCTGCGGGGACCGCAGCCCCCCAAACTTTGGAAGTGTCCAGTCGCTTTCTACTAGCATGGCGACATCCTCCCAATATCGCCAGGTGCTGACTGACTACGGGCCA